AGCTTCCTGTAAATTAAACACCTTTCTTGGCAGGAAATCCAAAAGGCCATCAGGTATAGTACTCACACTAGTTTCCATTCTGCACAGCAGACTGTCATTCTAAAGAGAGTAGTGTCTAGCAAAGTAGTTTTTCCCCATATGCCTCTACCTAAATTTAACCATTGAAATAAGATCTTCACCACAAGTTATATGTTGTTCATTTCTTGGCATTCTGGAGTCTTTCCTTTACCATTTCCAGATTCCATGCTCTCTTAAAGATTTTTTTCTTCTTAAAGAAAAAGTGGGAAGTTCATTTTGAAAAAAAGAAATGAAATTTTCTGTTCTGTTCTTTTTCCAGTTGCCCCTCCTTTACAAAAATCCATGTCAAAGGGAGAGAACACTAAGTGTGCTCATTCAGGCTTACCTAAAACGTTTCTACCTTCCTCAGCTATGATGTACACACCTCCAGCTTATCCCCATCTCCCTCTAGAGAGAATGGAACACACCATACCTGAGTTGAGCCATCTTCTCCAGGCCCTCAGGACTGATGCGGTCCCTGGAGAGCAGATTGCTGAGCTGCAGTTCCTGGTTGTCAGCCACCCGGAGAAGTCTATGTAACTCCTGTTGCTGCATGTTTCTCATGTGCTGTTCCATCTCCTCAGGACTCATTGTGCTGGCAGGGAGAGGGCTACAAACGTACTGCCCTGATGGAGCTGGGTAGCCTGGGTAGTAAGGTCCTGGGTACACACCATTTGTAGGGCCCATTGGGTACTGCAGAGGGCTATAGCCTGTATAAGGATACTGGGAGGCAGGGCCTGGAGTCTGGGGGTAATAATAGGGATTATCAGAATTTTGAAACTTATAATAAGATGCTTGGGCCTGGCGTGAGTCACCCCAAGATGTAGGACTGACTTCATCATCAGTGTCCAAGAAATGCAGCTGGGGCGTCTGGCTCTTTAGAGCAGGTTTCTGATCAGGATTGTTAGGGTCCCATAATCGTCGAGTGGTGCCTCCACGGCCCCAACTACGAGATCCCTTATTACCAGATCCAAATAAAAGCCGAGGTCCTAAAGGTGTAGACTCTGGAGAACCAGCTGAATTGACAGATATGCTGGTATGGGCAGGCAGAATCAGAATGCCTCGGCCCCGACCCCGAAGTTCTTGTTTCAGGTTTTTGGACTCCTGCTTCTCACCGCCTTTGGTCCCACTGCTCAAGGCTTTATCAGGCTTTATCCTATCCACATCCTCTCTGGCTGACCTCACCGTGGGGGAATCTTTGTTCATGGTTTCTGCATCAAAGGTGACACGAAGAGTTCCTCGATTTTCTTTGCCATTGCTTTTCTGCTCTCCCTCTCCACGGCCAGACCAGCTTCTTTCTAAATGTTTCTTTCTTTCAGAGCTCCTCCGGGACCCATCCGGCTCATCAATTCTCTCCTCATCTAAAGAGTCAGTAGAGGACATAGATACTTGCTTCTTCAATCGTGGTCTCTCCTTGGTCCGATCCTGTCGCCTACGACGACATCCATTGTCAGTAAGGCCAGCCCCTTCAGCGCTGTTGTTGCTACCTGCAGAGCTGGTACTGCAAGTGCGGTATCGGTTCCTTCGTTTGTCTGAGCGGGAATACCTCCTTGCAGAACCGGGCTTCCCCTGTGCAGGCTCATCGTTTACTTTTTTCATCCCCTCTCCTTTTTCAGTCCTCTTTCCTTTTTCTCCCTTTGAAGCCCTTACTCTGTCACCATTTAGGCTCTTTTCTGCCGCACCTTTGTCTGTTTTATTTACAGCCTCCTCTTTTGTATTTCCCCTACACTCATCATCTTCTACTCTCAGTCGTTCTACCTGGTTGAGGATTTCTTCCTCATCCGCCCGGTTAGTCAATTCCTTGGTAACAGTCTGTAAACGCCTTCCAGGCTGATAGATCTGCATGTCAGGTTTTTTTGTTCTCTTGATAATTCTTAGACTTCTATCCTCTGACCCAGCAGTCCTAGGAAAGGACTCCTGTGCCCGAATATTTTCTGGGTCTACAGGACCATTTTGCTGTTGATTGTCCAATTCCTTGCAGACATCTTTAATGAGCTGGGTACCATTTCCAATAGCAGAAGAATCTTTGTCATTTACAATTTCATCCTTAAATTCATCACTCCCAGAGGGTTCCTTGAATTTAGCTTTGTTCCTTAGTCGAGAGAGGCCAGGCTTATAGATTTCCAGATCTGGACGCCTATTATCTTTACGCTGCCTGGGCTCCTTCATGTTTTCTGTGATAATGAAAAGAGTGTTGAGGAGCAGAGAGTAGAAATAAGGAAAAAAGGGGGAGGGAAAAGAAGGAAAATGTCATTCTGGCAAAGTAACAGAGAAGTCAAGAAAGAATTACACATCGAGGGCCTCCCTGGTGGCGCAGGGGCTAAACACAGTGCTATCTAACTATTGCCAGACAGTGCAGCACAAGTTAGTCCCAGGCCACCAGGGAACAACACACACAGCGCAGCAGACCTCTCCTGCCTTGCCCGCTGCTCCCCTCAGCAGTGTATTTCATTCAATCCACCTGTTCTGCTCCCCACTCTCTGTGGTGAATCTCCTCACACACACCCCCTCCCCATACCTCTGGCTTACACCCCAGGCTTATATGCATAAATAAATAAATCTTTAAAAAAAATAAAAGAATTACACATCGAAATGTTAATATTAGTGGGCAAGGAAAAAAAATTTAGAAGCAGAAATTCTACAAGGTTTACAATATTTGTCAGCAACTGGCAAGGCTAAGAACTTGTGTTGGAACTACCTACACTTGGCTTAGATAAACAGGGGAAGAAAACAAACTCTTCTGTGTTAGCAAAGTCATACTCATATCTCTAAGACCAAGACCCAAACTGTTTAAGCATTACACTGTTCTCAGCTATGGAGCCCTTGAATTCATCTTAATCTTGTCTCCAGCATTTTTTCCAGGATGTTTAGGTATTTTTAACATACTAGCAGGGGTAGGGAGTGGAGGAAGAGAAAAAGAGGAGTATGCAATAATCCACAGTTCTGGACATTTCTGAAGAAAAAAATTTCCAACTCCAGTCTGTGAACTTGGCCAAGACAATCCTCTTTTTTAGTATACCATTTATCCAATCACATACCTCCTTTTGAAGAGAACAGGAAGCAGTTCCTCTCACATTCTTCAACTCCACTCATGCTCACCAACTCTCTAACAGCAGCCAGCAGAATCATTCCAAGGAAAAACTGCTCAGACTATCATCATTAGAATACTCAGAATAACTGCTACTATGATGATGGAATATGAGTAAGAAAAAGTTCCATAAGAGAGCTTTCTCTGGGAGATGATGAAAGTATTATGACATGCTCTCAAAATACCAAGGACAGGGGCATTCAAGAACAGGTTACAGGACTTTAGAAACCACTCCTTAGGCTCAGTGAAGTTACTGAATGATAGATAAGCAAGCTTCTATTTGCATCTGTTACCTTTATGAAAAGGAGACTCCTACAAAAAGTCACTAAACATTTCAGTGGGCAAGTGACAGGAATCACTGAGATTATACAGTCTCAGAATACTATGTAAAATCCTAGTATTGTTCTATAAACAACAATGGAAACAAGCCCATTACAGGAATCATACGCTCCAGCATTTCCATCCATTGGTGCAATAAAACTGTAAAAAACACCACCTCCCCTGGAATTTTAAGATACTACTTCAGTAATTTCATAAGTTTAAAAGACAGTTTCAAAAAAAAATAAATAAAAGACAGTTTCATCAAGTATGAATAAAGGTAAAGCAGTTTAACTCCACAGGAGCGCACCTTCAGGAGACTCTGTAACTTAGGTGAGGGGGCACAGGGAGAATCACCACTACATTCCGGGGGGGGGTGAGAGGGGGGGCACAGAGAGAAACAACCTGAATAATCCAATCCAGTTAATCTCTGAAAACCAATTTCACAGATTTTGACCACAAACCTTAAGAAGCATAGCTACCGTTCTACACAACTCTACTGCTAACAAAGGAAAGGTGAGACACAGGACTCTTTTTCAAAGCTTCCCTGGTTTGGCAGGACACTAACTCGCAAGTTGAGCATTCCGATAAAAACTACTCCCACACATGCCAAGGCCAAGCCAGAGCAGTCAACTCTCTGAGGTCTGGATCCCTCCAGTGGCGCACCTTTCAGAAAGAAGCCTACCCCTGCCTTGGGGCGGGGAAAGTTCAGCATGGAAGTCCCAAGCTATTAAACCTTTCTCCTCAATTTCTCCAGTTGCTTCTTGTTAATGCTAAGGTCAGGCCGTGGATGGCTCCTCTGGGAGTGGTACCCTCGGGGGCCTCCCCCAGACCCCGGCGTTCATGGGTTTTCGCATCTCTACAGGGTTGAGAACCCACGAGCTGGTCTAGGAGGGCTGGGGCAATGAGAACAGTCACCTTCGCGGTGAGAAAGGGGGCGTAGGCAAGAACTGTGGAGGGGCTCTCCCGAGCGGGCCCACTGCGCCCGACCCCACCTGGGCCCCCGGGCAGGTAGAGGGGCCCTGCGAGGACCGCCCAGGCCCCCGCCCCCACTGTTGGGGGAAGGGGCGGAGGCACCGGAGCTCCGCAGACCGAGCCGGAGGAAGAGGAGGAGAGGGAGGCGGGGCGGGCAGGCCCGGCCCAGGAGCGGGGCGGCGCGACTCACCTCTGCTCCCGGCCTGCGGAGCCAGAGTGGCCAGGATCCCTCGCAGCTCCGACGCGGAGATCCGGACACGCTCCAGCCCGTCCGCCATCTTCGTGGCTGCTGCTAAAGCTGCAGCTACTCCGCCACCGCCGCGCGCAGCCAGGAAACCACGACCTACGGACGGGCGGCGCGCGCGCTCACCCACCTCCCACCCTTTTCCCCGCCCCTCCCGCCTTCCTCCCCAAACGACGGTGGCCGCGCTGGGAGGAAAAGCGCCGAACGCACGTTCGGCCACTAGGGAGAAGAGCCGCAGAGCGAGGCTGAGGGCGCGGGGGGAGGGGGGCGGAGGGGAGGGGGGCGGGGAAAAAAAAAAAAAAAAAAAAAAGCCGGCGCCGCGCATGCGCAGAGGTGTGTTCGGGAAGGTGAGCTGAGGCTGGAGTTGGAGGCTCGGCGCCTGCGAGGTGAGGTGAGGCCAGGCTTGGCGCGCCGGGCCCGGCCAGGCGCGGCCAGGCGCGAAGGTAGCTACTGTTGCTTCCGTGGTAGCCATCGAGGACACTGGTGCGGGGCTGGGGCGCGGGTTGACAGAGACACCCCACTGTCCGGCCTCCTCAGCCGTCATAGGCCATGGTCTCCCCGCCGCAGGCCGGGGCCAGTGCCCCAGGCTTTTACTGCGGACCTGAAAGACCTTGTTAGAGTAGTTGTTATTATTCCCCTTTTTAGCATGAGGAAACGGAATCCAAGATGGTTGATAAGTACTGGAGTATCTCCTGACGTCCTTTTTAAATACAGTAGAGTTGACTCGGTGAGAGAAGGGGTTGTGTGGAAGTAAATCTGGAGGCATTCTAAATCGATCGGGAATTTCTGTATCACGTAGCTTCGTAGGAAAATTACTTGACTTCCCTAGATCTCAGGTTGTTGTTATTGTTTTTCCCATATTTAAAATGTAAGTGGATGAGGGCCTCCCCGGTGGCGCAGCGGTTGAGCGCTGGGTTGGGAAGCTGCCTGCAGCCTCTGCAGCGCAGGTTCGATCCCCGGCCACCGGCGAGGGTCCCACATGGCGCGCAGACCTCTCCTGCCGTGCCCGCTGCTCCCCTCAGCAGTGTACTTCGTCAATCTGCATGCTCTGCTCTGCTCCCCTCTCTGGCTCTGGTGAATTCTCTCACCCTCTCGCGCTTCTGACTGTACCCAGTGCTTGTATAAATAAATAAATCTTTAAAAAAAAAAAAAAGTAACTGGATGAGAAGACTGGTACTTTAACCTCTTGTTCATGAACCCTTGTTCTGAACTGTGGTGAAACACCCTCCCGGAAGGGCTCCCTCCACCTGTTGCTCCCTTTAAGTCCTACGCAGTCTGTTGTACCTCATCAAAGAATACTTACCAGTGTATTCCTTAGTCTGGGCAATCTGACAGAACTCATTCCTTTTATGTGACAGACCCTTCACCACCTGCAGGTGGTAAAATAGATGCATAAAAAGATTCAGCCCTTCAAAAGAAGGGGAGTAAGTTGACTGGTCAGAGCAAAAGGCAAGTTTTTAAATAGATATGAAAGAAAATAGGAAAAAAAAGATTAAAAACTAATTTGTTTTCACATTGAAATTGGAGAGGACATTGCATTTTTTTTGTTTATTTTTTTATTATATTTTAATCTTTTTTTTTAATAGAGGCATGCTTTATTTATTTATTTACTGAGTTTACATGCACTGAGTACAGTCAGAAGCACGGGAGGGTGAGAGAATTCACCAGAGCAAGAGCGAGGAGCAGGCAGAAGGACCGAAGTACACTGCTGAGGGGAGCAGCGGGCGGCAGGAGAGGTCCGTGCGCCATGTGGGACCCTCCTCCGGTGGCTGGGGAGCAGCCGGGGATCGAACCGGCACCGCAGAGGCTGCGGGCAGCTTCGCAACCCAGCGCTCAACCGCTGCGCCACCGGGGAGGCCCCCTGCATTTTTGTTTTTAAGATCTATTTTTATTTATACAATAGCTGGGGTACAGGTCAGAGGCACGGGAGAGTGAGAGGATTCACCAGAAACAGAGTGGGGAGCAGAACAGGCAGACCTACCAAATCATTACTGAGGGGAGCAGCGGGCGGGGCAGGAGAGGTCTGTAGCGCCGTGTGGGTATCTCCCCAGGCGGCTGGGAATTGAACCCGAGCTGCAGAGGCTGCAGACAACTTCACAGCACTGCACTCAGTCCACTGCGCCACCGGGGAGGTCCCTGCATAATTTTTTTAAAGGTAGAAAAATAATCTGAAACAAAAACATCTTAAAGAGGAAAAGTATGATTGCCATATTATTTCAACAGTGTGTCTGTGAACTGCAGATGACATATACCAGAAGTTAAATCAGCTCAAGAAAACTTACCAGAATTCCAAAGGAAAAGATAATAGGTAAATAATATGAGATGTAAGGATAGAAAACATGGAGAATGGACCCAGAAAACAAATCATCATATACATTTTTCAGAAGGTGATAACAGAACTGAAAAGGAGCAATAAGCAAGAAATAATAGAAGAAAATTTACTAAGGTGATGAAAATTTTTGAACAACCGTGAGGTTAAAGGGTTCTTGAAAATACTGGATAAAAATTAATGAAAAGACAACCATAGTTAGACCTGTACCACAATTAAATATGTGATACGGGGCCTCCCCCCGGTGGCACAGTGGTTGAGCACTGGGTTGCAAAGCTGCCTGCAGCCTCTGCAGCTCTGGTTCAATCCCCAGCCGCCTGGGGGAGGGTCCCACATGACTCGCAGACCTCTCCTGCCACCCACTGCTCCCCTCAGCAGTGTATTTCGTCTGTCTGCTTGTTCTGCTCTCTGCTCTGGCTCTGGTGAAATCTGTCACCTTCCCGTGCTTCTGACTGTACCCAGTGCTTGTATAAATAAATAAATAAATCTTTTAAAAAAAATTAAAGCCATCTTTATAAAAAAATAAATAAATATGTGATATGTATTGGCATGAAAGAGTCTTCATGTTGCATTGTTAAAATTTTGTTTTTAAAACCTGTTATAGTGGGATTTATAGTGTTGTTTTAGCTGAACTCAATAAAACCATTTATTGCAGATGTAAATTTCTATCTAAGTACATCAAAAAGGTGTGGCAGAATACACACCAAACCTTTTTAAAAGTCGTTATCTTTTTTTTTTTTTTTTAAAGTCGTTATCTTTATGAAAGGGAGATTTGATGGCAGAGAGTGAAAGTGCTTTATATATCTGCAGTGTTTTAAATTGTTACAGTAGGGGTTTGGTCATATTATGTGGGTAATCCAAAAGACAACAAGCAAACTTGGGTAATGGAGGAGGGAAAAATTCCATTTCTAAAAAACAAAAATCGTGCATGTCACATTAGCTGAGCACAAAATATTAAATAAAGCTAGAAATGTATATAATTTTAAAATTCATTAGAATTTGGAAATTTTGTGTTTTTTTTTAAAGATTGATTGATTGATGCATAGAAGGACTGGGATGTAGGCCAGAGGTACAGGGGATGATAGGACTCACCAGAGACAGTGGGGAAACAGAACAGAAACACTGCTGAGTGAAGCAGCCGAAGAGACAGAGGAGGTCTGCTGCACCATGTGTGGGTCAACATCCTGACTGGGGATAGAGCCCAGGCAATCATGGTGGTATCACTGAGACTTAACCCCTAGGCCACCAGGGAAGCCCTGGACGTTTTTTAAAATGCCAATTTTAAATAACTCATGGATCAAAATGTAAACCTAAAATTGTGTATTCTCTAGAAATTATAAGATTAATGAAAGTACTTTATAACAGAACCTACGTTAAAGGTATACTCAGAGAAATTTGTGGCATTGAGTGCTTTTATTCTAAATGAATGAAAGTTAATAAATTCGGTATTCAACAAAGGTAGAGAAAGAAAATAAAAGGAAAAAATCCAGATAAAGTCAGTACTTAATAAGGAAGAAAGAACAGTAGAGATACTGAAGAGTTTTTTCTTCAGAAATAAAATAAATGTTAAAATGGACACATTTCTGGCCAAAAAGTAGGAAAGGGGAGGGGAAATCCCAAAGACTGTTCTCTCAGTTTTCTCAGTTATCTCATAAGTAGTTTCAAACTTAGTCTTCAGTCTCTAATTTTCCCCTAAAATATTAATTTTTCACTAATCTTGTTATCTCAGTAAATTATACCATCATCTAAAACCAAGAGTTGTCCTTGACACCCCATCTCTCTTACTCTCCACATTCAACTCCATATCAGTATATGTCTCTTCTGTGTCTGTAGTAGGCAAGTATGGAATTCATCACCTCAACATTCTCCCTTTTCTCTTGCAAATTTCCCTTCACTCTCTCTCAGAAATACTTTGTCTTTCCTTTTTTTCTTCTTTCTTCCCTTACTTCATTTGTTTGCTTCTGTTTTTCCCTCAGGTACCAAGAATTGAAGCAGTCATACTATTTGGTTAACAATATCAAGGACTTGCTCAATTTTATCTTTTTATTCCTTCATTCCAGTTTCCACTCATGCTTCTCCCTTAGGGACCCACCCTAATATGTTTTATATATGTCCTTGGATATACATGTATCTTTGAAAAATATATAGTACTTTTGTGTATGTATGTGTTTTAAATGTACATAATTGATACTGTTACAGAAATCATTGTTTCTTTTTCATGTTTCTGTAAATACTTCTGGATATTGCGTAGTATTATCTTACATGACTTCATGCCCTTTGTCACTGGTACTGGGCCATGGTCGACCAATCAGAATCCTTACCCAGATTTTTTTTCATTGAAACTGAGAAAGAAAAGTCCAGTGTGGAAATCATAAAAATGTAAAATACAGGAGCTGTCAGCAACTATGTATCCTGCCATACATGTGGAACCCTCTGATGTGCAATGAAAAAGAATGAAGCCAACATGAAGAAAGCAGCAGAAATGAGAAACAATGAGAGAGTCTTGGAAAATCTCAAGTTCCTCTTTCCAGTTGATCCTGAAGCTCCGTATTTCTGCCATTCCCATGGTTCTCCTCCTCCTTGGACTCCATGAGCCACTAAATTTCATCACTTCCAACTTGTGTCTAAGCCAGTTCAAAATTGGGTTCTATCACATATAATCTGGAAGTCAATCTAATTGTATTTTCCAACATCTATCTTTTCCTTTTCTCTCTCTCTCTCTACATATATATATTTTTTATTATTATTATTATTTTTTAAATATTTGTTGTAGAAGAACTGGGTGTAGGCCAGATGTACAAGGGTGGTGAGAGGATTCACCAGAGACAGAGTGGAGAGCAGAACAGGCAGATTTGCTGAAATACACTGCTGAGGGGAGCAGCAGACAAAACAGCAGAGTTCTGTTGTGCCATATGTGGGTTAGCTCCCTAGCTGGGGATCAAACTCAGGCGGTGGCAGTGATAGCACTGAAACTTAACCTTTAGGCCACCAGGGAGGCCCTTTATATTTTTTAAGTTATGGTAAAATACACAAAATTTATCATCATAGCTATTTTTAAGTGT